TAAATTATTGAATTATATCGTGCTCATATATAAACTGCATACGCATAATGTAGGATACGATCTTCGAGTATAATTATGGACGTTATTTATTAATAAGTTAGGTCCAACACGTTTGGGTCCAAATGCCCATATACTAAAAATGAGAAAACCGATTTAGTTGATTATTATAATATATCTAATTATCATAAATATTTTAAATTTACTTTTCCACCACGTTTTTCCAAATTTCGTTGCCAGCTACTTTGTCAAATTCAAGTTGAAGAAGTCTGAAAAACTCTTCGATGCTTAAAATATCTTCCCCTTTGATAGTGATCTCTTTAATGACATCTTCATACTCTTCTGTGGCGTGCAAATCAATTTTATTGCACCGTTGCCGTTCATCTATAATAGATTTTATGGTAATGGCGTGTTGATTAAGAAAGGCAGTAACATTCGAAGGTAGTGGGACGGTACGCAATTTAATTGTGCAATATTTGTTTGGTGTAGAGAGTGTCACAACACCACGTTGTATATTATCTTTATTAGGTTGATGCTCTATCATTTTTAAACATGATATTTTAATAGGGATGTGTAAAGAGAAATAGTACGATGCACAATGGAAACTATTAATTCTAAAATACCCGACACAGGAACAATCGTTTCTCTGAATGGCACAATGGGAGAAGAAACTTGAATTTCGATTTTCGCAAACCGTTCTTTCAAATCTCTCAAACATCTCTAAAATATCAAATTAATAATAAGAATGTTGATCTATAATTATAAAGCATATCAGTGAAAGATTTGTAACAAACCTCAAGGTGTACTTCGCCGGCAGTTAAAATAACATGCTCACCGGTTTCTTGTACAAGAACTTCAACGCACGGGTCAGCTTGATTGAGCAAACGAAGTCCTTCAATGAGCTTATTAATTTCAGCTATAAGATTTTTGATAAAATACATTAGGACATTAAATGTCAATGCAATATGATAGATAGTAATATAAAAACGTTGTTATTACATGGATCCGCTGGTTCAAGAGCTACTCGAACAATTGGCGCAGACTAATATGGGTGATCACCAAATTTCATTAGAAATTAAGCTTACAAATAAATTGCTAATATGAACCATTACCTCTAATGAAACACCAGCGAGATTTTTGCATTCTTTCGTACTGCTCAATGTTCCATTTTTCAATATATGGCCTTCAAGTCCGCCAATACCAAAAACATTACCAGCTGGTACTTCCTGAAGAGATTCCAGTTCTCTCCCCATCATTAAATATAGGCTTTTAACTGTTACCTCAGAGCAATGTTTATCAGGAAAAGCAGGGTCGTATTTAGGACCAAGAACATAAAGTTTTTGACCAACTCTAATGGTACCAGAGTAAAGGCGGGAAAACCCTACGAACGTTTCCTCAGAAGGATTTTGCTGAGAGATCATTGCATTTTCTGAATCTATGTCAGACTGAAGATGCAATTGTTCTAAGGAAGCATCCAATGATTCAGATATTGGAATTTCACTATGATCAATATCAGATGTAGGTGCATCCAAAACTGACTTTTCTCCAACATGAGTATCTGAAGAATGTAATCGTGCTATTCTTTGAAGCCTGCCCCTTTCTCTTAATTCTTCGGCAGACAACTGCTTTCTCCTGTTTTCCGGCAACATATCCGAATGTACAGCAAACATTTTTGATACATATGCGACGATAGGCGCAGAGTCACTGACATCGCAGCTAAATAACCCACGTTCAACTTCATTTATTGGTTTCTCTTTGACATCTATAGAAAGCATTCGTGGCAATCGCATCGGTTGTGCGACAATTGGCGATGGAAGCTGATCAACTACGGCAAGTGCATGGGCGTTAAGGATTTAACAATAAACGTAATAGCACAGTCAAAGCTCCTTATATAAAGCTTGAAAATTCAACATAATAAAATAAAGGATATGTAAAATAGCTGTAGACAAAGGTAGCCATTGATTGAAAATTGACGTCAGTAGCGTGCGAGTGTCTTTAGAGCGCATATCCCTCGGTAAGACTTTCAATTGGAGATTTTTAACAATTTTTTCGATTTTCTCTCGATTACTTGATTTGGAGAAATAATTTAGATTAATTAAAAAGTCACATAGTTTTGACATAGATTTATTAAAAAAGAAAACATACTTATTTATAATTATTGAATCATACACTGCCCATATATTTTCCAGTACGAATTGAACAAACATCGGTTTTAATTGTCGCCCTTTTAGATGCTTCTGTTGCAAAAAGCGCTTCGTTTTTGGATCGAGATAATAATCACCCCAGAGTACCTTACGAAGTATGGATTCTTTAATACCTAGTCTTGTAGCGTATATTTGGGCAAATTGTTCGATTCTATTCGTCCGGATCGGATATCACTGTAAACAATCAATTTTTGAAAGGAAGTTGTTGACACATTGATAAAATTGTGTTATTTTAACAGATTTACCTAAACGCCCATCCATCGAGAGCACTCGCAAAAACCACGTTTCCAGACTCAGGTGTAAAATATATATTAGAATCGTCACGCTCCTCAAATGTTATTTCAGTAGAACTCTCAGATTCCAATTCTTTTCCTTGACGCAATAACCTTTCCTGTAGTCGATATAAGTGAGAATCAAATTAAGAACTATTAAAAAATGAGGTATAATATAGGGCTATTTTGAATTCATACCTTCTCAGCCTCGTGTCTTTTTGTTTCTTCTTCCATCACATCACCAGCAAAGTAAGTTCCCACTATTGCATTAACTTGCTCAACAATTTTATTTAAATGAGCCTGAGCCTCTAATGGCGTTAATTTCAATTCAGTTATAAGTCGATCTATTTTATTCAAAATCAGGATGGGCCGAACATTCTCTACCCAGGCTTGGCGAAGCACTGTATGTGTCTTAATAAAAGTTTTTATTCAATTTTATTATCTCGATGTTACACGGATTCATTAATTGAAATGGATCCAGCAGAACCAATCTTTTTCAATTAACAAAAGAACGCAATTTGCTAACATTAATCGGATAAGAGTTTCTCAATCACACCTGTGTACAAACACCTTCGACCACATCAACAAGAATTAAGGCACCATCACACAGCCTAGATGCTGTTGAGACTTCGCTTGAAAAATCAACATGCCCAGGAGCATCAATAAGATTTATCAGATATTCATCAGAATTTTTTATAATTTCTTTTTTATAATTTTTATTAAATTATATGAGCAAAACAGTTCACAAATTTTAGAAAGAAAATATAAATAATTTCAACCGTTGATTTTTAAGAATTCGAGGTACCTTCTCCTTCCATAGATTTACGTAAAATTTGGAAGTAAAGTGAAATACCACTTGCTTCCATAGTTATTCCTCTTTCTTGTTCATCCTCTCGACTGTCAAGGTACCTCACCTTTCCCGCAAGCTTACTAGATATTATTCCGTTTGAGGCCAACAAAGAATCAGAGAGTGTTGTTTTTCCATGATCAACGTGAGCTAAAATGCAAATGTTTCTTATGTTTTCTGTGTGCGATTGTAACTTTACTAGTTGAGCAGTTGTTACCACCGGCATTATAGTATGTATGTATGAAAAAAAACAGATCAAGGTTTTTTTTTTTTTTAAACGCAAGCTCTTATAAAAAAATGCAAATCCGATTTAATTGGTGAATTGAGTTTCCCCAAAGTTCGCTAATGATCGACGTCACTGCCGCAGCTAGCTGTCGCAAATTAACCGCAGATTTTCGATTCTGATTGGCAAGAGCGGCGATCAAAAAAATTAGCCTATTTTTTCATTTTTGTAATGACGGCCGTTAGCCAATCAAAATCGAGAATTTGCCGTGACAATTTTAGAATCGTATGCCAGGTTTGTGACGCAGCTTTCCTGAATTCCTGAAACTAGGTGTGTCCGTTTAGACAAAAATCGTCTATTCTCAATATCCGCATAACCTCCGTTAATGCTCTAGCAAAGGTTTTTCTTGAGCGATTTTACTACATAATTTACTAACACTGAATTTTAAAGAATTTTATTAACTTAAATCTGCGCACAACATGCCAACTGCCGCAGCATTTGATTAATATATGATTATTAATTAATTAATTGATTGGATGCTGCAGCAGCAGCAGTGACATTGATCATTAGCGAACCAAAATGTTGCAAATTCAGAAGATTATAAAAAGAGAAATATTATCTTTTTTTTTTTGCTCCGAAACTCTGTGCCAAATCCGAAAGTTTCGGATTATAGCTTCTGAAACCTCGAAACCCGAAACCTCATATAATAATAGTCTAACTCGAAGCATCATAAAACCCCGAAACTGCTAGAACTTCAATTTCCACATAGTAATAGCTAAAAAATAATTTAATATGTAAGGCATAATAATTATTTATTTACTTCCGAGATTTCTTAGTATTAACATATCACAATATATATATAATATAAAATTTTTATCGAAAAGCATAAGTACGATTGGTCATGTGATTTGAAGAATGCCGGCACGCCAAAGGTGCCGTAAATAAATTCAATTAAAGGACTTTAAGTCCGCAGAATACATTGTGAGTAATTTGAACTGAGTAATTTGAGCTGGGTAATTTGAACTGAAACGATGATATGCTCCCGGGAAAATTAGCAAGTGAGATTGCGCCAGCATAGCGGGCTTTCGTTGTGATTGGTTAATTTTTTGTAGATCATTTCGTGACCTTCATAAATTCTATTGGTTCGGAGAATTAAAGGTTTGTG